CATGGTGTTGCTTATTGGTCCAGTTGTGAGGATTTTTGTTTTCTTTATGTTGAGGTGTAATCCATACTGAAGGCTGTGGTCTTTGATCTTCATCAGGAAGTGCTTCAAGTCCTCTTCACTTTCAGCAAGCAAGGTTGTGTTATCTGCATATTGTAGGTTAATGAGTCTTCCTCAAATCCTAATGCCGTGTTCTTCTTCATACAGTCCAGCTTCTCGGATTATCTGCTCAGCATACAGACTGAATATGTATGGTGAAAGGATACAACTCATATGCACACTTGATTTCAAACCATGCAGTGTGCCCTTGTTCTGTATAAATGACTATGTCTTGGTCTATGCACAGATTATGCATGAGCACAATTAAGTGTTGTACAATTCCCATTCTTCGCAATGTTATCCATAATTTGTTATGATCCACACAGTCGAACGCCTTTGCATAGTCAATAAAACACAGGTAAACATCTTTCTGGTACTCTCTGCATTCAGCCAAGATCCATCTGACATTAGCAGTGTCAAAGGAGGGAGAGGCAAAAAGCCAAAACTGAATCCAAGACAAAAACCTGGGCTGGTTTGAGTTCTGCCCTTACTCTGGGCAAGTCACTCCACCTCTGAGCCCTGGTTTCCTCATCTGTGAAATCAAGATGATAATACCTGCCTTGCTAGGCACTGGGGACTGTGAAGCTCCACCAAGATAACACAAGTGAATTTACTTCGAAAGCTCTGGTTCATGAGAGTTAACAATCTAATCTCTCTCTCTCCTGGATCAACCTCAATGTTTCTGAGGCATTAATAAAAAACAGAGACAACAGATACACCTTCAGATAATGCAGTTAGTGTTCTACTTGAGGAAATCCTGGTGGCGTAGTGGTCAAGTGCTACGGCTGCTAACCAAAAGGTCGGCAGTTCGAATCCATCAAGCGCTTCTTCGAAACTCTATGGGACAGTTCTACTCTGTCCTGTAGGGTTGCTATGAGTTGGAATCAACTCAATGGCAACAGGTTTAGTTTTGGTTTTCGGTTCTACTTGAGTCTTCCTTCTAATTATGTCACAACTACTAAAGGATGCCAGTTTCTGTTTTTTCTATTTCTTTCAGACTTCCCAAAAGCTCTCCATTAGGTCAAAGTAAATTAAATTCCTGCTTTTTTTTAATATCAATTCTCAAGCAGACAGTAGTATTAACAGCTTAGTATCTTTCCAACAACTAAGATAAAATTCCAATTTTCAAGAAAATACTACTTTAAAGTTTATCAACATGCAGTATAATGAAATATGCATCACTTTATGTCACTTTAGAAATGGAGCTTCACATACGCTCCAAAGACATTCAAGAATGTTTATTATGGCATGTCTTATAAAAGCAAAAAACCAAAAACCACCTACGTGTCCATCCCTAGGGGACTAATTAAATATATTATGACACATTCAAACACATGCAGCGGTTAAGAAAATGAAGCAAATCCACACGTGCTGTGAAAAGACATAATTAAGATACACTGTGAAGTGACAAAAAGCATGCTGCAGAACACTATATTTAGTACAATCTCTTGAGTAAATAAAACTAAAGAAATTAATGAATACAGGCAGAGAAAATTCTGGAGAGTTACGAGAGAAACTTAACAGAAGTGACCTCTGAGAAGTAGAACAGGGGTGGGGGAGACAGGGAAGAGGAAGGTTTAGTTTTATTTTTCCCTCTTCTGTACTGTTTGCATTTTTTCCCATGAAGAGAAATTGCTCTTACAAAATTAAATCAATTAATAAAAATTAAATGTCTGGTTGACAATTATTAAAAAAAAAAAAAAAGTCACAAAGGAAACACGCCTGTCACTCAGTCGTTCTCTGAAGGAAGAAAGCAATGCTTGTTTTATTTCGGACCGTGGGTAAAAGGCACTCTGAAATTGCTGTCAAGGTTTAAAATTTACCCTCAGGCTGCCGGCAAAGTATTTATTCAAAATATTTGTTAAACTGGCATTTCATAATCACTTTCCATCTGTGACAATGAGGAATCCAGCCGGCCGCTGGATGAGCCTGTGCTCCCTTCAATCAGGGCAACCCCTGGACAGGCACCTTTTCTCCAGCCCATGGTTACTTACGTCTCTCCAAGTTAAAACGCTCGAGGAGAAAGTGAGGAACCCACCCCGCCTCAACCACAGAGAATCTCCACGTATTAGGTTATACTGGTTGGGAAACAGTGTTAAACTCGAGCTTTCTGAGGTCTTTTTGTACATTAAAATATAAGCAAACACTTACTTCCATTCATCATTTTGTCTTTAGCAAGTGGGTGTGTTGTAACTTTGCTTCCAAAACCTACTTCGTGAGCCAAAAGAGCCGTAGGACCTAAAAATAAAATGAACAAACAGACCTGACTAAATGCAAATGTAGAAAAACGCACGTTTTAAAAATTTCACTGTTAGTGTTCTTCAAAATCAGGAGACTCTTACCTCAAGCAGTCATGATTCTCAAACACTTCTTAGTATGAGAGACAAAGTATGCTTATAATAAATCATTTGCTGGGCATATTTGGCAAGTGTACAGAGATGCAAACTTGAAACACTTTGATAACCATTTAATGAAAAATTTATCTCGATGTCTAGGGAGCGTACACAGAAAATAAAACAAGCTCCCTCACCTCAATGAAGTGGGAAGTGAGTATACAAGGGGAACAAAAAAGAAGAGACTACAATGGGCTAACTTCATCTTAGCAAAATGAAAGATTTAGTTATACATTAAGGGCAATCTGTGCTCTCTGAACTTCTGGACTTTAATGCTATTTTAAAGACTAACTTTATTTTTCCACTTGAAAATGGAAAAATAACACTCATTTATCCATCTAGCCATCCAAATATACCAGGTGCAAATGCTTAATGTGCTGGGCTGCTAACTGAAAGTTTGGAGGTTCAAGTCTAGCCAGAGGTGCCTCAGAAGAAAGGCCTGGTGATCTACTTCTGAAAAATTAGTCACAGTTCTATTTTTACACACATGGGGTCACCATGAGTTGCTGTCAACCCAGTGGGAACTGGTTACTGATTGTTGTTAGGTGCCATTAAGTTGATTTTGACTCATAGCAACCCCATGTGACTGAGTAGAGATGCCCCATAGGGTTTTCTACACTGTAATCTTTATAGGAGCAATCGCCAGGTCTTTTCTCCTGTGGAGCTACTGGGTGGGTATGAATTAACCTTTCAGTTAGCAGCCAAGCACTTAACCATTGCACCACCAGGGCTCCCTGGTTACTGGTCAGGATTATTAAAATTAATAGAACATTATCTCTGCCATGAAGGAGATAAGTTTTGAAACATCTAAATATCTGAGATGAAAAAACATTAGCTTTACTTTATTAAAACTACCTGAGAGAAAAACCACACACAAATGTGAGTGTGTGATACTCTATGCCTTATCTCTGTTTAAAAACAAGTTTTTAAAAATATGCAGGTGTCAACTTGAGATTTCTATCCAAGTGTATATACCAAAATCAGTCAACTTCAGTTGTAATCACAAGTGTATTTTGTATGTAATGTTCCTCAAATAAAGGCTAAAACCAGTAACGGTTTATATCTTTGTTACTTTATTATCTTAAAGCTTTCTTTAAAGTGGCTATTTCACCTTTTTTCTTTAAGTCACCAAAAAATATTTTCTAAGGCCTCATCTCACACCCAGAAAAACAAGTTTTAGAACAGCATCCTGACCTTTTACATGCATAGGATATCATGGCTAAGATCCTATGATTCAGTCTGTACACTTTTAGCTTCATCAAACCTCAACACTTGGTCTTACGGATCTTTCATTTTTCAATCTGATTCTCAGGAAAAAGTAGTTGTATAATGCACCTACAGACTACTCAGGTCAGAGCTGTTACAAACACCAACCTCACAGGAAGACCAAACAAATAACCTAATCACATACGCTTCCCACCTGGTCTATACCTCATAAATCAAAATCCTCAGGTATGTTTCTCTCCACTTTACTTGTGTGTACGTGTGTGTTCTAAAAATACATATAACAAAACATTTGCCATTCCAACATTTTTTACGTGTACAATTCAGTGACATTAATCAATCATGTTGTACAACCACCACCACTATCTCTTTCTAAATTTTCCACCACCCTAAACAGTCAGTGCCCTCTAAGCCATGACTCCCCTTTTCCCCTCCCTCCCATCCCTGGTAAATCAAAACCAAATCCAGTGACAGAGCAGAAATGCCCCATAGGGTTTCCAAGGCTGTAAATCCTTATGGAAGCAGACGGTCACATCTTTCTCCCACAGAGTGGCTAGCAGGTTCAAACAGCCAACCTTTCAGTTAGCAGCTGAGACTGCCCCTTGTTAACTACAAATAAACTTTGGTCTCTACACATTTGCCTATTCTAGATATTTCATATAAATAGGATCATATAATATTTGTCCTTCTGCGTCTGACTTACTCAGTATAATGTTTTGAAGGTTCATCCATGTTGTAGCATGTATCAAAACCTCTCTTTGTGGCTGAGTAATATTCCATAGCATGTATGTACCACATTTCATTATCCAATCATCTGTTGATGGACATTTAGGCTGTTTCTGCCTTTTGGCTATCGTAAATAATGCTGCAATGAACATGGGTGTACAAGTATCTGTTTGTATTCCTGCTTTCAATTCTTTTGCGTATATTCCTAGGAATGGAATTGCTGGATCAAATGGTAACTCTATGTTTAACCTTTTGAGGAACTGCCAAACTGCTTTACAACACAGCCGTTGTACAATTTTACAATCTCACCAGCAATGGATGAGGGTTCCATTTCAGCAACACTTGTTGCTGTTTTGTTTTGTTTTTTGTTTTTTTTGGCTCACAGCCATCCTAGTGGGTGTGAAGTGGTACATCACGGTGGTTTTGATTTACATTTACCTAGTAACTAATGACACTGAGCATCTTTTTATGTGCTTGTTGGCCATTTGTATATCTTTTTGGTAAAATGTCTGTTTAAGTCCTTTGCCCATTTTTTGATTGGGCTGTTTGTCTTTTTGTTGTTAAGTTGTAGGAATTCTTTATGTTGTTGCTGTTGTTTGGTGCCGCTGAGTCGGTTTTGACTTATAGGGACCCTATGTACAACAGAACAAAATACTACCAGGTCCTGCTGTGCCATCTTCACAGTCGTTGCTGTGTTTGAGCCCACTGTTACAGCCACTATGTCACTCTATCTCACTGAGGGTCTTCCTCTTTTCTCGCTGATCATCTACCAAGCATGATGCCCTTCTCCAGGGACTGGTCGTTCCTAGTAACATGTCCAGAGTACGTGAGACGAAGCCTTGCCATCCTTGCTTTGAAGGAGCATTCTGTCTGTACTTCTTTCAAGACAGATTTGTTTGTTTTTCTGGCAGTCCATGGTATATTCAGTATTCTTCACCAACACCATAATTCAAAGGCATCAATTCTTCTTCAGTCTTTCTTACTCATTGCCCAGCTTTCACATGCATATGAAGCGACTGAAAATATCATGGCTTGGGTCAGGAGCACCTTAGTCCTCAAAGTGACATCTTTACTCTTTTAAATACTTTAAAGAAGTCTTTCACAGCAGATATGCCCAATGCAATACATCATTTGATTTCTTGACTGCTGCTTCCATGGGCGTTAACTATGGATCCAAGTAAAATGAAATCCTTGACAACTTCAATATTCTCTCCGTTTATCATGATGTTGCTTATTGGTCCAGTTGTGAGGATTTTTGTTTTCTTTATGTTGAGGAGTAATTCACACTGAAGGCTACAGTCTTTATATATTCTGTATATTAAACCCTTATCCAATATATTGTTCCCAAAAATCTTCTCCCAATCCGTAGGTCTCTTTACTTTCTTAATAAAGTCCTTTGATGCACACAAGTTTTTCATTTTGATAAAATCCAATTTATCTATCTTGTCTTTTGTTGTTCACGCTTCTCATATCACAGCCAAGAATCCATTGTAAAAAAACTAGATCCTGAAGCAATATCCCTAACATTTTCTCCTAAGAGTTTTATGGTTTTAATTCTTACATTTAGATCCTTTTTACCTTACTTTATACTACATACAAGTCAGTTATACTACCTATAAGACAGCTATGGATGGTAGCTTTTTTTTTTAAAGGCTGTAAAAATCAGATAAATTGTCGATTTTTATTTGAAAGAATTCATGAATTACTTTTAACTCTTACTTTGTTAAGATTTTAATAAAAAACAAATACCTACATTATCCTGTATTTTTAAAAGTTCAATAGATGATCAGACAGTGAGGAGTCAATAAAATTAAGAACTTTCAAGCTGCTACCTCCAGGTAATGAAGGTGTTCTGGTGGTGCAGTGGTTAAAGTGCTCAGCTACTAACCCAAAGGCTGGCAGTTCCAACCCACCAGCCACTCCACAGGAGAAACGTGGCAGTCTGCTTCTGCAAACATTTACGGCCTTGGAAATCCCATGGGGCAGTTCTACTCTGTCCTACAGGGTCGCTATGAGTTGGAATTGACTCGATGGCAATGGGTTACCTCCAAGTGATGAAACTGCTACCCATAGTAATGTTAATAAATTTATGCTACTGTTGGATTTAGGGATTTGCTGATGCCTTACTCACCATTGTAAGCTCATAATTATTGCCTTCTGGGGCTCAGGAATCCAATATGAAAAATTAGAGAAGAGGTATTTAAATACTCCCACTACTCAAAGAGCCCTGGTGGCACAGTGGTGAAGAGCTACAGCAAGCTACAGTTGAGCTACAGTTGCTAATCGAAAGGTCGGCAGTTCGAATCCACCAGCTGCTCCTTGGAAACCCTCTGGGGCAGTTCTACTCTGTCCTACAGAGTTGCTATGAATTGGAATCGACTCGAAGGCAACAGGTTTGGTTTTTTGGCAGCACAGGGATTAAGCGCTTGGCTGCTGACAGGTTGGTGGTTTGAACTCTCACAGCGGCTCCATGAGAGAAAGACCCAGTGATCTGCTCCCATAAAGATTATAGCCTAGGAAAACCTACAGAGCAGTTCTACTCTGGCACACGGGGCTGCCATGAGCTGAAAATCGACTCGAAGGCACCCAACAACAACACTATTTCAAATTCTGACTGATAAAAATGTTGCCGAGTCTGCTCTCCAGAGCCGGATCCGCACAGAGCAGAGATCTGGCTCTGCAGAAGCAAAGAGGCTTTTCTCTTTTTCTCTGGGGTTTAGTAAAGCTGACTGAATCCCTTTCTGCAGTCAAGAGGATAAGGTCAACAGCGCCACCATGTGGTGACTTGGAAAGGGAAAGCAGAGCACCTCTGTAGACTTTTTCCTCCTACCTCTGTGCATTAGGCATCTGCTGACTCCTTCACCTGGAAGCTTCCCTCTCCCTCCCCAGGCCTAAGTCCGTTTCATTTTGTTTTGTTACCAAGATAGTCTCCCTTCCAATTTCTGTCTTTCTCATGCACTCAATATTAGGAGCTAAACTAAATCTACTGATTATTTCAGTTCAATAAAACAGTACCCAACTCCTAAGCACAACACTTAAGAATCATCATCTTATTTCTCCTTTGCCAATTTAGAACATCTGAGCCTCCTCCATCATCTCTCTGTTCCATTCCTATCACTCTTATCTCACACTTAAGTTACTATAATTTATTCAACTTATTAGGAGACTTTTTCCTATTTTTTTTGCAGTCCCCAGAACAGTGGTGTATGAACACAGGATATTCAAACAGTACATATACATTGTTAGAATGTTGTTGTATTTTCAAATGCAGATTTGAAATATCGTATGGTCTAAGCTCCTTAGAATGATGTTCAAGCTTTCCTCAACACAAAACAGTGAATCAGATGTGAGTGGTAATTTTGCTACCTAAGTGACACAGAAGGACTGACCTGGTGTTTTCACTTTCAGCAGTCATAAGGGAACAAATCCAGCATAAACCCTATGTTACGGACTGAACTGTGTCCCCTCAAAATGTGTTGTAAATCCTAACCCCTATACCTGTGGCTATAACCCATCGTGGAATAGAGTTTATCTGTTAGGTTAACAAGGCTATATCACTGTAGGGTATGTCTTAAGCCAATCACTTCTGAGATACAAAAGGAGCAGCTTAGGCACAGAGAAGCAAGCACACAGGGGAAGATACATGTCACACGAAGATCCCCAAGAAACGGGAACAGAAGCTGAAAAGAGATAACAACCTTCCCCCAGAGGAGGCGGGGGAGAGAGGAAGAAAGGGAGAGGGAGAAGGGGAGAGGGAGAAGGGGAGAGGGAGAAAGGGAGAGGGAGAAGGGGAGAGGGAGAAGGGGAGAGGGAGAAGGGGAGAGGGAGAAGGGGAGACGGAGAGGGAGAGGGAGATATTTCTGTTTGTTAAAGCCATCCACTTGTGGTATATCTGCTACAGCAGCACTAAGAAAACAAAACACCTAAATTTCTTCCTTTGGTCAAAGAACCTAAGAATGAGGCTGGGAGCTAGGGGTGGGAGGCTATCAGACAAAGTCTATATACAACTAACAGGAACGATGACTTTGTCACCAGAGAGGGCTGCAGTGACTGCAGTGCCCTTTAGCAAAGACAAACCCTGTGCCAGAGGCAGAACCTGCAAGGGTGGTCTCTAATGCAGCTGTTCTCCAACACTTAGCTCTCAGGACCCCTTTAACTTTTATATGGGTTACATCCATCAATAGCTACTATATCAGAAATTAAAACTGAGAAAATCTTAAAACACAGGAATACACAAGCATACATGCCAAGCCCGAATGATGGCATCATCATATTCTGATGTGCACTGCTGAAAGAACAGGGGTGAAAAAGGCAAATCTTGTCTCAGCATTATTTGTTTTGACCTTACCAATGCTGTGAAGAACTCTGAGAACCACTGCTCTAATGCACAAGCCCTAGGATCCCCAGACTTTAACTTCTTCTTAAGAACAGTCTTTAGAATTGAACAAAACACTAACATGTCATTTTATCAAACCATTCATTCATTCTCTCTTCTGACAAACACTTAATAAGGACATAACAATGAAGGCACTGGCACAAATTACACTATGAAAAAAACGAAGATGGCATAACATCATCTGATATAAAACCAGCAAAAATGGATTTCAAAATGGTATCAGAAAACCAACTATTAAGATGTGGAGATATCGATGAAGCACCAAACGATGTCATTCTGGTGTGAATAACGATGTTATAATGATGTGGCAGCTAACAGAGTGCCTGAGATCTAGCATTTGACACTGAGAATCAGAACCTGCTCTGGAAGGTGGGAGGAAAGCACCATCATGTTTCTGCTTCTCCAGGGCAGGCCCAGGGCAGAGCTGTTATGTTTATGTCTGACAGATTCCTGCTGACTGTGTGCTGGCAGACATCCTTTCTGGCAAGAGATGTGCTGTAACAAGCTGTTTACTGAATTCCAGAGGGCCTTACTTTCCTCCGAGGTCAACCAAACATGGAAAATGCTAAGTTTCACAGAATGTAGGCGAAAAGTATGAAGAGGCAGAAAACAGAACAATTGTGCTCATTTCTGAAACGGCAACTACTTCATGCCACTCAAACTAAACACACCAAAACAGACACAGTTCACACTTTATAAAGGGGAGAACTTTTTAAAACAGTATCTTATAAAAAGGCCACGCCATCACATGTGTTTGGAAAACCAAACATTCTAACAGACGACGGTCCTGACATTACCTGCACAGATGGCAGCGATGAGTCCTTTCCTCTTCTCTTGTTCCTTCAGTATGTCTTTCACAGCAGGAGACTGTTCCAAGAAAATTAAAAACATGTCAAGTTGTCATTAAGCCCCAAGCAAGTCTCTCGCTAGACAGCTTTGGCAGAATCTGATTCTAGCTTAAACCCCAAGATCTCCAAACTGTTTTTTCAATATTTGCAAATCATTAATTTAAAAATCATCAAACTGATAATGTTTCTACATTCTTCAACCCGATCAAGGCATTGATTAGAAGGGCAAGGCAGTCTTCCACATTTAAAGATGAGAAGAAAAAAGCAATTTCCCTCGGGAACATTTGACCCTTGTCATTATGTACTGCAGGGAGAAGTAACTAGAAGGGAGGCAATGCAGTGGTCTGGGGGTTTTCATATGGTGAAGTCAGGAACATAATCTAGCAGGAAACAATCCCAAATATCTGATGTGCCCTCCTTCTCCACTGCCCTGCCCCTCCTTACTCTATTCCTACAGGCAGTACAGTACCAGTTGCTGTCGACCCCGAATCATAGCAACCCCAAGTGTGTCAGAGTATAACTGTGCTCCACTGGGTCTTCAATGGCTGATTTTTCAGAAGTAGATTGTCAGGCCTTTCTTCTGAGGTGCCTTTGGGTGGACTCAACCTCCAACCTTTTGGTGAGCAGTTGAGTGTTAATTATTGGTACCACCTAGGAAGTCCTCCTGTAGGCAGACTCTTCACTTAAGACTTAAAATGAAGAAGCAGTGGGCTCTTCTGATACCATTTTTAATTGAAGCTGGTAGCTCTAAACACTCTCCTCGGCTCTTGATTAGCGAGCAGAGAGGTGACCTCACATCCTTCTATGCTTAACCCTTCACAAAACACAAATTAGACTGTTCTCTGCTAGAGGAAAAATTAGTAGTCTTAGATTTGGACTATATTCACTAATTCTGTTCATAAATACCATCAATTCAGCTTACTTCTATAATAAATGTAATTATACTTTTTTTTAATAAAATTAAGGCTAGAACACCATTTTGTTAATTTTACTTCTTTCCATTTTATTCACAGCTTCCTCCCTGAAATATGTGAATAATACCAAAATCAAAAGAACACAAGCAGATGCTGAAACACATTCTTTAGAGCTTTTACCTCGGATAAATTCTGTGCACCCAGATTACCTCCTGGAAGAACCACCACATCATATGGTCCCTGTAACAATTTAAAAAATAAAAAAAAGGAAAGTGAAAACATTTCATTTTAAACGTGCATTAAAGAGATAATCCAGTAACACTTTCATGTTTTAAATGTGAGACACAAGCAAAACACAGAAGATAATCTAAACGTATGTCAACAGACCAAACCAAAACCAAACCCGTTGCCATGAAGTCGATTCCAACTCACAGTAACGCCACAGGACAGAGTAGAACTGCTCCACAAGGTTTCCAAGGAGCGGCTGGTGGACTCAAACTGCTGACCTTTTGGTTGGCAGCCGAGCTCTTAACCACTGAGCCACCAGGGCTCCAACAGAAGAACAGCTAAATAAATGAAGGTGTGTCCATATGATGGAATGCTGTTGTAACTAGGAAAAATGCCGAAAATCTGTATACAGTAACAGGAAAAGACCTCTATGTTGCAAAATAGCAGGCATAATAAGATCTCATTTTAGTGGGAAAAAAAAATGTATGTACATGGATATATACATAGATGTGTAAATACACGTATATACATTATACATACGCCCTTTTCACATATGTATGTGTATAACCGGTTGCCATCAAGTCGATTCCAACTCATAGTGACCCTACACGACAGAGTAGAACCACGTCATAGGGTTTCTAAGGAGAGGCTGGTGGATTCAAACTGCCGACCTTTTGGTTAGCAGCCGAGCTCTTAACTTCTGTGCCACCAAAGCTCCATATATGTGTATACGGATACTCACAAAGAAGACACACCAACTGCCAGTGGGGAGTAGAGTGGTATGGAGCGGAAGGGGTGGAGGAAGAAGAATAAGAAATGAGAAAGGGACGTAACACTTTGACTTTATATATCTCTATATAAATTATTTGAATTATTTTTCAACATGCATGTACGTAGTAAAAAAATAAATAATTTTAAAAAAAAAACTAATTTTAAGTAAAAGGCCCAAATTTAAATTTTATGAAAAATGGAACTTGGGGAGAAAATGGCACAATATTTTAGTATCCCAAAAACGTCCTAGAAATCTGTAATAATTTCAAACTTGCTGAAATTACAAAATTGAAATTGGTTTAACAACACTTTGAGAAGTTAAAAAGATTTTGTCATTCAGCAAACTGCAAAACGGATTTTTAGTACCTATTTAGTGCAATATATACTTTTTAGACTCCCTCCTCTTGCTTTAAAGCGAAGCAAAACTAAAAACGTTGTGAAGTACATACAGAATTTCTTTCACTCCTTTTAGCATCTGAACTGAGCAATACACACAAAAGTTAAGCACTGTTCTAAAATACCCAGACATCAAGGACAACAAAGAACAGAGAAGGAGTATGTCCTCCTACTTTTCACTTTTAACAGCATAGCATTTGAAAAGTTCCAACAATTTATATTTAAATACCAACGTTCCAATTCTCCACAATCTATCATTGAAATGTCTGAATTCATCAGAAAGAACTAAGCTTTTTTCTACGCATTTTAAAAGGACAGCTAAGCACAGGCAATTATGCTCCCAGGGATCGGGTTCCTTAGCAGTGGCTGGCTCTCCCTCCTTTCCCACCACATCTTTATCACCACAGGAGGATCCAGCCACACGCCTGTCACACTGGACAGCTACAACCAAACCCCATGAAAGGGTATGCAAAAGCATCTGTGCATGCATGGGCGGGCAAGCTTTGGGGAAAGGGACCCAGCTCTTCAGAGTCCCAAAGGTGTCTGTCGCCCTCAAAGATGAACAGTCATAATTCTAAAGACACTGAAAAAGTTATACAGTTTAAGTAGAACTCTTACTCTTCTCTGAATTTAACCACTAACAAAGTACAACTTGTTCCATGTAAATGAGTCACATAACCATGTCTGTGTCACTGAAAAGGGATATGAAAAAAAGTAGCCTTAGAATAAAGAATAAGAAATTAATGGCAAATGGGGTGGTTTATCCTCTTATATAACAACATTACAACAGGGAACAAGGCTGCCTCTGTAAGCAAGAAAAATGATGATGGAAGAACAGTGTTCCCAACCACCCATCTATCCACCCATCCATCCATCCATCCATCCAACACTTACAAAGAACAAGCTGTGTCAGGCATTCACGAAGTGCTATGGATACAGGGTGGGAAAAGGCGAAGTCCTCACCCTCCCAGGATTTAGTTTAGTGAGGAAGACATCTAAGCAATGTATCTTTCTTAAAATAAATCTGCACTAACAACAGTCTTAGATGTAATCTAAAGACATTTCAAGAAATTAGCACCAATAAACAAGCCATATTGAGGAATAATTCCAAGTATGGAGAACAAACCTCTTTTTTTGCATCTTCAAGACTGGCATCAGGACAAATGACAACATGTCGGCTACACTGGACTGGGTCTTTTCCAGCCAGACCCGCAATGGTGACCTTAATCTAAAAGAAAGATATCATCGTGACATTTAAGAACACTGAAACATAAATTTAGAGTACCATTTTCACAGCTGCCCTGTGTTTTAAAATAATCTGACAGGAAATACTACAACAGAGCTATGCTGAATTTAAGCTAATAAATTGGCTTAATATATTTAATAACTAGGTCTGTCCTGGTTTGCCTAGGACAGTCCCAATTACAGCTGCTGTCCCAGCATCGTACCTGGTTAGCGTCCTTTCTTTCTGAAGCATTCTGGTTTGGGCGATAAATTATGCGATCATCCTATTAATAACCCATCTTGCAAGGTTGCTGTGGCCATTTAAATCTCATGGTGTTTTCATAAGGTAGAAATTAAAACAATGAAATACTACTGTTATCTAGCAAAAAATTAAAAAACAGACAATACCAAGAGCTGGTATTTGGAAAATGGGAATTTTCCTACACTGCTGGTGGAACGAGAGATTGGTACACTGAAGAGCAATTGGCAAAATCTAGTAACGCTGACTGTATCTTTGGTCTAGCAATTCCATTACTCCACTTTTAGGTACACACCCTGGGAAAACTTCCACACATTTGCACAAGGAAACCTGCACAAGAATATTACAGTAATATTCTGTAATTAGAAGCATTGTATCAGATCATGGAGTGTTCATATAGCACAAAACTAAGCAGCAATTTTAAATGCATAAACTGTATCAACACGTATCTACACTTGTAAGAGCCAGAAGAGTACAGGGTTAACAGATTCTGGGGGCGGGGGAGCACACTGCCTGGGTCTGAGCGCTGGCTCTTCTACTTACTGTGACCACAAGAATGTTATTTTTGTATCTGCGCCTCGGTTTCCTCCACTGTAACATAAGGGTAACCTGTTGCCATCATTGCCTACTATAGAACAGAGTAGAACTGCCCCATAGGGTTTCCAAAGGGCGGCTAGTGGATTCGAACTGCCAACCTCTTGGTTAGAAGCCACGCTCTTAACCACTGCACCAACAGTTGGCAATATACCTAAATCAGGGTTGTTGGAAAGTTTAAACAAGTTTATATAAGTGCTTAGAATGATATCTGGCACACAGCACTATTTAAGTGTTCTCGATCATTATGTAACAATACGGACAAACACAAAATGACAGCTACAATCTAATGCTACTTTAAAGACACCCACGTGATGGATACAAACCAATTTGAGGATAACAGTCATTTACCTCTGCGGACAGAGAAGGAAAATAGGATTGGGAAAAGAACAAAGAGCCTTCAAGTTTATTTCTTTAAAGCATTTGTTCTTTAAGAAATGAGTCTGAAATACAGCAAAATGTTAACAAGCATTAAATACAGGCAGTGGATAAAAGGGGGTTTTTGAGGAAAACATATACCACTTCAGTGCTTTCTATATGTACAATTCAGGGACATTGGTTACATTCTTCAAGTTGTGCCATCTTTCTCAACTACCTTTTCCAAACTATTTCACCATTGTTAACACAAACTCACTGCCCTCCTAAGCTTCTCATCTATCTTTTTGAGTTGCTGTTGTCAATATGATCACATATAGTTTAATAAAAGAATATGTATTACAGTGTCTCTATTTTTATGTAGGTTTGAAATATTTCATATACTACATTGAATGTATTATTCAAAATGTCTTTCAAAACTCCAACAGTTTTTAAAAAGGGGTGGTGAGGGTTAGACCATGGTGGGGGACTTACTCCAGCACGTCTCATGACATCCACAGGGATGACCGTCTCCATTTCCTCTGCTCCCTTGGCCAGGATGACCAGAGCTCTTTTTGAAGCCATTTTTAGGTTGTATTCTTTAAAGACTTAGTAGAAAAACAGACTTCCCAAAAAAAACTTTCACTGCACTCCTGGAATAGCCAAAAAGTTTAAGTTTAGGAATATCTTCAAACAGAGTAAGTGCGTGCTTCCCAGGGTAAAGGGTCTGACAGACAAACACAACTAAAATGGAGCATTTTTGGTTAATATCGGCTTATATAGTAGAATTTCACTGCTGATTTGTAAGATGAAAACACAGCGAGGGTGCTAACTCTCTTAAGAGAGTGTCACAAAATACAGACGTGTTAAGATTGTTTAGACTTTCTTTTAGCACTATGTTCTGACCATATTTTCTTAAATCCAATTTCTAATCATACATTGCAAGTACATGGGTCTTGCTTTTCACACATTGCCGGGGATAAAAAGAAGTCTGCCTTTTTGTAGCACTATCTCACAGAGAAATAAACTTAATTTTATGGGCATAAAATTAAAATGTTCATTGTTTAGTAATTAGTCTGTAAGATTTTTGGAGGAGATTTTTTTTTTTTTTTTTAGTTCCAGTAACTGTACTAAAAATTTTGGAGGGGACCTAATAGTGTTAAACGCTTTAACACATTATTTTTTATGACTGAGAAAGATGGAAATTCCCCTCACTAAACTCTAGTCCTATCTAGCTACATTATCGCTCTTTGCCTATCGAAATAAAAAAAAACACGTTGCCGTCGACTGGATTCCGATTCCTAGCGACCTTATAGAACAAAGCAGAACTGCCCCCACAGGGTTTCCAAAGAGCGGCTGGTGATTTGAACTGTCGACCTTTTGGTTAGCAACTAAGCTCTTAACCACTGCGCCACCAGGGCTCCTCTTTGCACACAGTTCTGAGTAATCTTCAGCCTTTTTCTGGAGAATTTGCTGTCCCAACAAAATAGATTTTCAATAAAACGATTTCAACACACAGTATTAACTACAGCCAAACCAGTCAGATGTTCAGCATTTTGGGAGCTCTCTTCTTTAGAAATGCTACTATGACTGGTAATCAAAAATAAAGCAACTGCTTTGACTGAAGTGCCGTGTTTATCAAACGCAACCAAAACTAGGCTGGGGTCTGCACGGTTCAGGGACCTCATCCGAGGGCAATGGCCTAGCAGTAACAGGGGCCTACCTTTCGAAGCCCCCGCACCCAAGCCGTGAGGCTCAGCTAAAGCCCGGAACGCCCAGGGACCCCGCGCCGCCTGCGCACACGCCGCGCCGCGCCCCCCCTCAAGCCTAACCTGACCTGTCTCTACAAACGCGGATCCTCGGCCCACTCGGCTACGCTGCCGCGCCCGGGAGGACCTAACCGGAAACGTGCCTCCCAACCCCGTCCTCCAGCTCCGCACTGCGCACACTCACACCGCCTGGCCTCGCTTTCCCGCACTGCGCAGACTCGCATTGTCCGGTCTCGCGATAAATGCTCAGACTCGCGCTGTGTCGCGTCACGTTACGTCACGTTCGACTAGCCCACCTCTGAGGGTTGCGGGGTACGGACTGGAGGTGTGTTAGAGTCGAGTCCCTTTCCGCGTCCCGATTGTGCCTCTAAGGATATTTTCAGTTCCTTCAAGTGGAACTCCCAGCACCTCAAATCCTACAGGTTCACGCATCCGCACGAAATCCCTACCACGAATGGCACAGTCCGGCCTGTCTCCCAGATTCAACCCGCTTTTTACCGAAGCCGAAAAGTCGCGACGCCGGTCTCTTAGAACCGCTGCGGCTTATTTTAAACACGCATTTTTATAAAATAGATTTGTCCCTGGTGTTTCTTGTGTTCGTTTCTATCTCCTTTTGCATTGTTCCTTTTTCCTGGAACGTCTTCGCGTTTCCCCTCCCATCTATTAGGACTCGTTCAAGAGCTTCCCAGGCCTTGTTCTCCACACGCTTTGATGGCGCGATCCCATGTGACTGTTCAGCGTTTATTTACTTACACGGCAATTTCATGTATAGTCAATTATCTAAGTTTTCTTAAGCTCCTAATGCTGCTTCTGCGTCCACAGAATGACAGCAATTCTGAGCACATAAGTCTTAATAAGTACTTGATTGATTAAATTATCTCAAATTTTATTTTTGTAAAATTTTTGAATATTAGTAGTTTTACCAGTTTCAAAACCAAGATAAGTGTTACATTGAAAAGACGCGCTCCCATTCCTGTCTTATCTAGTCCCATCCCTACCTCCCACCCGGTAACCAACGTTATTTTCTTGAGAACAATTACAGTATTTATGCCAGCACAAGCAAATATAAATGAAGACCATTCATTTCCCTCTTTTTCACATAAAAACATAGCAGACGATGTACATTGTCCTGCACTTATTTTTTTCACTTACTCACGTATCTTGAAGATCTTTGTATATGAAAACAAAAAGAATTCTCTCCCCCTTTTTTCTCAGATGAGTACTATGCCATTGTGGGGATGTTCCATAGTTTATTTACTGATGAATATTTAGGTTATTTCCAGTCGTTATCTGTAAGGACAGCGCTGCATTGAATAAGCTTACACACACGTCCTATTCACGCAGGTATCATCAGAGGGTGAATTCCCAGAAATGGGAAATGCATTTGAGCAACTCCACAAGAAAATTTGAACCACTTAACATTCCCATCAGCAGTGTATGAGATCAAACAATATTTTAAATATGTCAGCATTTTTTAAAGTTTCAATTTAGATTTTAAAAACTTTTCAAGGAATTTTTTTTCCTTTGGTAGTTTACAAACCACTTTCATATATTATTTCATGTAATCCTTATGATTGTGGGGAGAGTGTTTTTATTTAAATGTGAATAGATTCATTTTTGCAGCACTCTGCACTGCAAAAAATTTTAAATGTCTTCAAATCATTATTTGATATTTTAAGAAAATACTATTTTGGAAGTTCTAAAATGACTTCACGTTTGGTTATTTGCAAAGGAAGCGAGAAAAACCCACCCTCTTTCAGCTTTGAAGCAGCTCTGAAAATACCGACAGAGAGGGAGTGGAGGCAAGTGGTCAGGTATGTTTCAAGAACCAAGGAGGGAGTTTGGTAGATGGAAGGAAAATCAAAACAGACTGTTTTGATCCACTGCCCATAGTGAACTCTGGCAAGGAAACAACCATGCTGATGGCATGCTACAGCATGACACACAGCCATGACACAGTAAAAATGGCAAAACAAATGGATTGGCAGAGACAGAGAGCCTGAGTTAATGCTGCTGAGACATCTGCATCACCATCAAGATCTGAGATGGACCTGTTGCTGTTATGGTTAGGTGCTGTCAAGTCAGTTCCAACTCATAGCGACCCTACGTACAGAACAAAACACTGCCTGGTCCTGCACCATCCTCACAATCGTTGCTATGTTTGAGCCCATTGTTGCAGCCACTGTGTCAATCCATTGCTGACCCCCTACCAAGCATGATGTCCTTCTTCAGGGACTGGTCCTTCCTGATAACATGTCCAAAGTACACGAGGCAAAGTCTCGCCATTCTCACTTCTAAGGAGCATTCTGGCTGTACTTCTTCCAAAACAGATTTGTTCGTTCTTCTGGCAGTCCATGGTGTATTCAATATTCTTTGCCAACACCGTAATTCATAGGCATCAATTTTTCATTGTCCAGCTTTTGCATACGTACAAGGCGATTGAAAGTACCATGGCTTGGGTCAGGTGCACCTTAGTCCTTAAAGTGACATCTTTCCTTCTTAACACTTTAAAGAAGTCTTTTGCACCAGATTTGCCTAATGCAATACCTCGTTTGATTTCCTGACTGTGGCTTCCATGGGTGTTGATTATGGATCCAAGTAAAATGAAATTTTTGACAACTTCAATCTTTTCTCCATTTATTATGATGTTTCTTATTGGTCCAGTTGTAAGGATTTCTGTTTTCTTTATGTTGAGGTGTAATCCATACTGAAGGCTGTAGTCTTTGATCTTTTTCAGTAAGTGCTTCAGGTCTTCTTAGCTTTCAGCAAGCAAGTTTGTACTTCCTGCCCCTTGACTTTGGGTGTGTCCTTGTTTTGGCCAATGGAATGTTAACAGATATGACCTGAACAAAGGCTTGAAAATTACTGACCTGATAATTAGGCTTGCTCCCTTGCACTTTTGTATTGTCATATGAAGAGCTTCCTCCCCTCCCCCCTCCACCCCCCACTCCAGGGAAGTTGCTGCTCCCCTCTCAACCCGGGTTTTCAGAAGGAAGACATGTGAAACAGAGCTGGCCCAGCCAACGGTACAAGAGCAACCTGAAGACTGTAGCACTCAGGTTTTGTTACACAGCAATAGCTAACCAATACAGTATTAAAAGACTTATAATGAAAAACAGTATTCCTCCGATTCAGCTCTGCCTACCCCTCAGCTGTGCTGCTCAGAAGTAAATACTTTCAGCTATTTCTTCTTGTAATTATGTCATCATTTTAAACAATATGCTAATAATTTTATTTCTCATATACCAGATTTAGACATTACATATCGATTTCCTGGCAAGTGTTACCATAGTTCTCATTTCACAGCTGCAGACTGAGGTACAGAGGGCTGAAATGATACTATAAGGTCCTGCAAAACTTGGTCAAACGCAGATAAATTCTGATAGTAAATCTCACACTCTACCCACCTTAATAAGCCAGCAACACTCATGACACTCTTAACTTTACAGTTCATGTAGATTTCTCATCACACAGTTACAGAACAAAAACCAAAAAAGTAAACCATTTATCAAAAAATATTGCTTTAGTACTGGCAATGCTGACACCTCCTAGTTCAGTCCTCTATTTCCAGGCAGGACAACCCATCTTTTCTACTACCTTTTAAGTTAAATATTTGATAATATTTTCATGCATTCCATTTTCAAGGAGCTTAAAATCATCACTTTCCTGCAACAGTGCAACATTTAATTAAGAGATATTGTTCTGCCTAGGGGAGCTTACAATTCAATAATGGAGAAATGGCATTAACAATATTAGCAACAGCCACCCAGAGGAGTTCTAATCCTGGTTCTGAAAAGCAATTCCCCTTAGAATTACCCAGATCACAATAAATAGCAAATAAACTGCTGCCAGGTTATTATTTTTTCATGGGTCACTTGCACCTGGCACCTCATCTTACTCTATAAACACTTAAAAAGAAATCATTATCTATGTATGCTTTTATTTTATTCAAAGCACTTATCAGTCTGGCATTTTCTTGTCTTTTGTTTACTTACTGTCTATCTGTTCCCAGTCCTGTGAACTCCATGGGACAGCCTCCCTGTCTTGGTCACTAGTGAATCTCTAGCATTTATTTGAGCCCCTGACACATAGCAGATGCTCAATAAATACTTGCTAAATATTATCCTAATTTCACCTTACGTTACTTGACAGTTTCCTTTGATTCTCGCTATAGGTTAATATTTACATTTACAGAACATTAGTTTACAAAGTGATTCAACCAATTTCTTGCTTCTTTGAATCTTATTTCCCAAGTCAAATTCGCCTCAACAGTGAATGTGAAATTTCATGTGCTCTAAGAAACCCTGGTGGCAGGTAGTGGTTAAGAGCTGCAGCTGTTAACCAAAAGGTCGGTATTATGAATTCACCAGGCGCTCCTTAGAAACCCTATGGGGCAGTTCTACTCTGTCCCATAGGGTTACTATGAGTGGGAATCTACCTGACAGCAATGGGTTTCATATTGGGAAATTAACATTAGTGTTTTCAAACATCACTAAAGAGCAGGGCTTTCAACCGGTTTGTTCCAGTTCAAGCCCTGCTGAGAGTTTGTATTTCCACCCCAGATATACTGAATCAGAATCTACCTTTTTAACAAGATCCCCGGATGATTCTTGGATATAATCAATTTTTAGAACCACTGTTCTACTAGTGGTTCTCAGAATTGATCCCTAACCAGCAGTATTAGCATCGCACTCCAACTTGTTAGAAATGCAAATTCTCAACAGAAGTTCGTACTGGAACAAACCGGTTCAAAGCCCTGCTAAAGAGAGAGAATTTTAAACAGGAGTTATTGGGCCTAAGGAAGACATTTAAGGCATTAAATATGCTTCTCAACATCCAATGAAGTTTGGGCTCAGCGCACGCTCTAGAGAAAAGAGGTCCGGCAAAAACAGCGAATTTCCCCTCCAAAGCCCCCGAAAGGTTAGGTCGGCGAGACCCGAAAAGAGTAGGCGAGCCCTGACATTTGAGGCAGCGCTGGCTAAAGGGGGGGAAATTCTGACACCCAAAGGCTGTGAGGGGCCCCGGTGACTGCTTACCTCTGCTCCCACCCGGTGTGAAAGGCCCCCGGAGCGTAACCCACTCAATGTACCTCCCACGGCGCTCGGGGCGCCGTAAACTAGCGAGGATGCTCCGCAGTGACGTAAATCCATTTTCTTCGACCTCGTCGCGCGATCCCCGCGCTTCCCGCCCGGGATTGGTCAAGCCGGCTCC